TTTGAAAATATTTAAATGTTTTATTTTAAAATTTTTTCGATAAACTTTTTTGTGAATTTTTTACTAAACGTCTAATATGTTATTTTTACTGACATTTCTTAATACAGCACTAAACTTCTGTTGCTAACTTGAACATCAATAAAATCAAATCAATCACGCGTTTGATTGTTTTATTTATTTTTTATTGTATTCGACATATAATCATCAATGATGAATGAATTGCTGACATTTTCATACATTATTAATTGATCGATCTCCTTTAAAATAAAAAGATAAATAAATTACGATAAATTATTTATATGAATCCCATATAGAAAATTTTTCGACCGAAAATTTATCGATGAATAATTCTTTAAATTCATGTATTTTTAAAATTAACAATAAATTATTATTAATTTAAAATAAAAAGATAAATGAATGCCGTTAAATTATTTATATGAATCTCATATCAAACATTTGTGACTGTCAAAAAATTTAATAAAAATTTTAATTGTATAATTTATTATTTTTTTAATGTTTTGTAATTAGGCTCTCAGTTCCGATTAGTAATTATCAACTATGTTTAAAAATATTTAAATGTTTTATTTAAAAATTTTTTTCATAAACTTTTTTGTGAACTTGAACATCAATAAAATAAAATCAATCACACGTTTGATTGTTTTATTTCATTTTTTGTTGCATTCATACAAGCAATTCATTCATCAATGATGAATGAATTGCTGACATTTTCATATATCATTAATTGATCGATCTCCTTTAAAATAAAAAGATAAATAAATTCCGATAAATTATTTATATGAATCCTGAATAGAAAATTTTTCGACCGAAAATTTATGGGTGAATAATTCTTTAATTCATATATTTTTAAAAATAACAATGAATTATGATTTATTGTTTATTAAAATAAAAAGATAAATAAATGCCGTTAAGTTATTTATATGAATCCCATTTAAAAATGTTTCGACCGAAAAATTAACGATGAATAATGTTTATCATTTTACGAGAAGGTCATATATCAGACATTTGTGACTGTCAAAAAATTTAATAAAAATTTGATTTTTATAATTTATTATTATTTTTTTAATGTTTTGTAATTAGGCTCTCAGTTCCGATTAGTAATTCATCAGCTATGTTTGAAAAAATGTAAATGTTTTATTTAAAAAAAATTTCCATTAACTTTTTTGTGAATTTTTTATTAAACGTGTTATATGTTATTTTTACTGACGATTCTTAATGCAGCACTAAACTTCTACTGCAAACTTGAACATAAATAAAATACAATCAATCACTCGTTTGATTGTTTTATTTCATTTTTTGTTTTATTCTCACATATAATCAATGATAAATGAATTGCTGACATTTTCATATATCATTAATTTATCGATCTCCTTCAAAATAAAAAGATAAATAAATAAATAAATTCCGATAAATTATTTTTATGAATCCTGAATAGAAAATTTTTCGACCGAAAATTTATCGGTGAGTAATTCTTTAAATTCGTATATTTTTAAAATTAACAATAAATTACGATTTTTTTTAAAAAATATATGATTAACAAGCCGGTTCTTTATAAATAAAATCGTAATGCATTTTATTTGAAATTATTTACAATCTGTTTACTAATGGAAAGATAACATAGAAACATAAAAAAGCAACTAGATTGATTTGATTTCTTAAAAATAGAAATTAAGTCACTTTAAAAATTAACGGCTACTTAAAGTGACTGATATGATTTTTTTAAAAATAGAAATTAAGTCACTTTAAAATTAATGGCTACTTAAAGTGACTGATTTGATTTCTTAAAAATAGAAATTAAGCCACTTTAAAAATTAACGGCTACTTAAAGTGACGGATTTGTTTTCTTAAAAATAGAAATTAAGTCACTTTAAAAATTAACGGCTACTTAAAGTGAGTAATGAATTATATTGCTTATTTATTATGTTATTCTCCATTTAAATTATCAGGTATATGCTCCCATAAAATGACCTCACGTTTTGAAAATAACCATGAATGAAATTTCACATTTTCTTGGATTTTCATCGGTTGGTATGTGGAGTTCGTAAAAAAAGTGAGATAAGGCAGTTGATTCACCTGCAAAGTAGGTGTGATTTTGAGTCATAAATATTAAACAATGTCGGCCAATGTCTGGCAGCTATTTTCTGGAATTCAAGTTTAGATTTTAATTCTGTCGGCCTCGTGCATACTTTTAAAGCTAACAAACAAATTTAGTTTCGAAGAATTTTAAAGAAAAGTGCCAGGATTGTTGCATTTAAAACACTTTTAAACTTTTATTTTAAATATGTTTAAAACATTAAATGACATGTTTTTTTTAGCATTATTATACTGTGTCTTTTAAATTCAAATTATATTTCATTTAGAGATGTTTTTAAGAAAAATAGAACGTGTGAAGACTATACAAAAGCTCTTTTTTTTTTTTTGGAAATAAATAATAAGTGTATGTTTAATTTTTTACTTTATTTTTTAAATATTTTTTTTTAATTTTTTTTATTTTTTATATATATCTATATGCTTGCAACAATAGCTAGAATGGCAAAAATTTACAACCCCTAAGTCTGTTTGCTACTTATTTACATTTCTTCTAAAACTATTAAGTGCTAAAATTTTTCAAGGTTTTTTTTTTCTTTTTAAATTTGTATATATTTCTGGCAATACTTCATTATCGTTGTAGTTAAGTCTATAAAAAAATACTCCTAGAAATTGTAGAAATATTTTTAGTAATTTTTTTTTTTTTTTTTTGAATATATAGCTGTGTACTCAACTGCTGGATTAAAACAAAATGTTTTACACATTTGGCTTTGTACACACCAAAATTATTTTGCTAAATACGAAAAAGGTTTAGAATAAAGAGAAAAAAAAGTTTTAATTAAGAAATCGTTTGGGTGATACTAAAGTAGGAAAATTTGTAACTGCATTCTAGACTCTTGAAAAATAACTTCGATTTATATTTTGAAATTAAATTTGTTAAAAATAATTTTTTGTTCACATTCAAAATCTAAAACTACTTTTAAAATATTTATATCGTAAGCGTTAGCAGTTTAAGGATTTAAAAGAAAAAAGAATTTTTCTTTCTAACTTTTCTTAAGAAAAGTTAAGATAATAATTTAGTTTCAATTTTTAATTGAATATTATTTGATTGACTTATTAACACTGAAACGCTTATTTTGTGAAAGTTCCAAAAAATACTTAAATTGGCCTTTGTTATTTAAAAAAATAATCGATGCTAACTTTCTATTTTTAATGAAGATTGCATACAAAGTCAGATGTTCTCTATTGTTAAAATTTTACTAGGATAAGACGAGTTATCAAATTGATCTTTTTGTTCTAATTAGGCTAGAAAAATAATATGCAACAGCATATGGCTTGGTAACCGTATCAAATTTAGTAATAATAATACTTTAAGTACAAATTTGTTGATACCATGATAAGCGGTTGCATTGTATACATTTTTGATCACATAAACAATTCATCTTTAATATTATAGATAAAAATAATCAGATGGTTGATTTACTTTAGACTTATGATAAAAACCATTAATCTATTTCGTAAAAAAAAACAATGTTTATTCTATATTATTTTTTTTACTATAATTATATATTAGATTTTATGCTTTAAAAAGCTTAATTAAACATTTTTGTAACTAAATTAAGTAGTTAGATTATCTAATAGTCAATCAATTAATATGCTTAGTTTATTGAATGCATCATATAGTTTTCGAAGAAAAATTCTTTAAAAAGTTTCCGACTTAGAACAAATGTTCTGTATTTTAATGGAGTTGAATGAAATTATCAATGAATAGTCAATAAATTAATATGCTTAGTAACAATACTTATGAAGTATTGTTACTGAAAGAATGATATCTTTCTGCAAGATATTTTTAATAATAACAAATATATATGTTACTCATTTAAAGTAACAGAAGTTGTTGTGCTGACGAGAAAAAAAATTGTATATATATATTTTAAATTCGATGTATAATATTTTTTTATTTCTAATATGGGTGATATTCTGTTATTTGGGGGGAGGGGAATGCACTAATTATTCCCTTTTTCGCATTTTGTAAATCACGATTACATTAAAAAATCAAAATTCGTGAACTACCGTAAAAAATATAAATGGATTCATTGAAAAGGGGTTACGAGATTCTATTGTTGTAATTAATATGGTGCTAAAAGCAACTGATTTTAAAAACTGTGGAAATCAATAGCTATATCTGCCCTCCCTCAAAAAAAATCGACAAAAGCATTGCCCAAAAATTTGACTATCTGAATGTGCAATTCATATTTCCTATATTTCCCATATCCACGTGAAAATCAATAACTGCCAAAAGAACAATCTTGAACACTACATGGATTTACGATACTATTGGCGATACTATATAAAGACAATAGAAAACCAGAAGCGTTTCTCTACAAAAAAAAAAAGAAAAAAAAATCTTTCGATAATTTCTGCAGGAAAGAAATCCAAAATTTTTATTTCTCAGAGGAAAAATCTTCCTGCAAGAACTCTGTAACATTCTGCTACAATATCGCTGTGTCGCAGCGATTCTGTCATAGTCTCGCAAATGGATGTGAAAAAACTATTTCAAGAACGTTTCTAAATCGTTTGCTGAAAGAATGATATACTTATATAAGGAATATATGTAACTAATAATAATTTTAACTATTTACCCTAAATAATGTTAAACAAATATAATTTTAGGCTAACGTTAATTTTAGGCTAACGTTGTAAATTTTTTTTAAATGTGTTAAAATGAAATTTTCTTTTGGATAACGTTAGTGGCATCACTGTATCGCCGTGACGTCACGGATACTAATTTATTTAGAAAATCTTTTACGATATATTTTTGCAGCACAAAAAATTTAAGATATCAAGTATGTAAGATAATTAATAATACTAAAAAATATTAAACGGGAGTATTTAATTTTCATCTTCCTAACAAAGGAAGAAAAAAAATATTTCGTAAAAAATGAATAAATTACCTTTCTACGAACTTCGGGTGTCGGCTTTCGATTCAGAAGATGTTGGTCGCTGTCCACAATACAAGACACTCGCATGTTGGAAATCAATTCACCTGTCATATTTTCTTCTTAGTTTTCAATTTTCTTTTCTCTAAAATTCTCTACGCAAACTCGAGTGTTTTTGTTATCAAGGTTTATTTTCTTTTCTTCCGTCTTAAATGTGACTTTCCATTTTATCCCGGTGGATAAATTATTTTTTGTTATGAAAGCAATAATCTTGCTTTGCTCAGACGTTGAGTCATGAAGTTCAAAAGGAAAGAATGAGTTTTTGATAGTACTATTTATCGTGTTACTTTTTTTTAATATTTTATTTGGAATGATAAACATTACATCATATCTGAGTTATTGACAATGATTGGATGAAGCCTAAATGTAATGGTTCTGAATAAGTTATTAATATATCGGGGGCTTTGGAAGATTTTTTTTTGTTCTACCCTTTGTTACGATTGCAGGTTCATAGTACGGTAGTTGTCCCCATTCCCTTTTATTCTGTTATATTGATTTCTTTTTTTTAAAATGTAATGATTTAAAGAATATGATCCATTTTCTATTAATAATCTTAACAGTAGTTTTATACAACTTGGAGAAAACTTGTGAATTCAAATTTCAGAACATTAATCTCTACGCTGATAATTTTGTTATTCGTTATCTGTGCATGCTAGTTGTGCTCCATGGACAAGAAAGATAGTCTTTTACGTGTCGTTACATCATTTTAACATTACATCCTACAAATATTTTATCGTATCGGAATTATTGACATCGATTGGGTGACACTTTCACCATTTAGTTTGATTATAAGCTTACCATTTGGTTTGTGTTGGGTTCTACGCTTTACCTTTTTCGAATGTAGGTTCATCGTAACAATTTTGCCACCTTTTATTTTGTTACATTTATTCTATTTTTAAGTTATGTCTGTAAGACATTTTGTTTGAACAATGTAAATAGTACTTTTATACGATTTACAAAAAAATAGTGGCTGATTTATCTTTCAACACAAACATCTCTACTCTGATAAGTTTAATATTAAGACCGTGAACGTAAACCTCGTTTTCTATGCATGCTAGCTATGTGCTCTTGTAATAGTTTATCTTCTATGCTTTATTACTTCATGCTAACATTACAGCGTACAAACATTACAGCGTACAAACATTACAGCGTACAAACATTATACTACGTAGCGGTGCTTTCCGCAAGCGTTTTTAGAAGGGCGGCCCGCCCTACTTGCCCTTTGATCCCAATAAATGCGCCCTCCTTGCCCTTTTTGTAAATATAAACCGCCATCCATTAACGCTGCATATTTATTCATATTCCATTTTGAAAAAAATTAAGCGGCAAATTTTTTTTTAAATAAATTTTTGTTCTAAAAAAAATCCTTTAATCATTTAACTAAACAATTTCAATCATTAACTTTATTTTACTCTATCATGTTTTCTTTATAACTATTGCAAATTTTCTGGAATAAAATATATTTTTTGCCGAAAGCAGATTAACAGGTTTCTTAAGGTTTGTTATATTTTTAAACTTTAAATGATTAAAACAGTTTCTCAGAATGTAATATTTTTATTCGTTAAAATAATTTTTATAACAAATTAAATGCTGATTTATTACAGATGACCTAAGCGAGGAAAATATGGATATTTGATCTTAGCTGATCTTTGATCCTAATTTTAAATTTAAGAATTGTCTGTTCAATAAACTGCATACCTTAAAAACTTCGTTTATAAAGTTATGTAGTGAGAAAGTTAGTTTCTGAAGTGTTGAAATCTGTCTAAGAAAAGAGTTACACAGTTATTCTTGCAAAACGTCTTCTTATCAATGAATGTGTTTAACCTTGGAATTATCCTCATTCCTCTTTCTTCCCATTTAATGAAGTGATGAAAGGGACCCCATTTTCCTATCTGGATAAAGTCCAGCTCTAGATCTCATCATTAGATATCTATGCTGTAGATTTTTAATTGCTTTTTGCAAACGTTTGAGAGCTTTGAAAGAACTTTTAACTGTGGATTTCGAATATATATTTATTTTAAAAGTGGGATTGGTCCTCATGATCGCTCTGCAACGATTGCATTGTCACAGTTTCACAAAAAGAATTTTTTTCCTTCAAAAATCGTACATAAATATTATAATATTTATTCTTGTGAGCGTGATTTTGCTTCCATGTTAAATCTTCAGAATATTATCGAGTTCAATTTTCTTAACTACTTAGTAACTCAGTATTTCCCAAAGTGGTACGCGTACCCCCAAGGGTACGCTTTCTTATGCGACATATCTTGCTGCAATTGAAAATTTCATAAAATTTTATTTAAAAACAAAGCTAGTCATGAAAATTTACGATTACGTATTTTTACGTATCTACGTAACAGTTAATACTTTGTGGTGTCAACAGCCAGTTGTGATTTTTAACTTTATTCTCCATTCTAAATAAAAATATTTTTAGAAAAAAAATACTTTCATTTTCTTATTAATGGTACACACCGTTACGAAAAATTTAGATAGGGTACACAAAAGTCATAAGTTTGGGAATGTAACTGATAAAAGTTTTGGAATGATTTTTCCCCCTTCCTTTTTATCTTTGAGATGTATTCTACTGAACAAAGTTACCAAATTTTAACTGTTAACGTTGTTCGTATTTTTAAATATGTAAAATTTATTATACACTTGTAAAGGGTTTGAAATTAATTTTTTGTTAATTTTGATTGCTAAGTTAAATAAAACTTATTTCGATGAAATATATATTTAAAAATATTAGTTATTAAAGAAATTGCACTCATATAATTCTCTCGTATTCTACATTAACTATTTTTTTCCTCCTCATGTTCCCCCTCTCCTAAAATGTAGATTTTATCACTGCAAGAATATATTTCCAATCATAAATAGTTCCTCTGAAAGGAAATTTTTTTCAGGTAAACCCTGACTAGACTCCCAGACTCTCTGTTCATCATTTCTCCTTTTGTTTCCATTCTTTCATTTTAAAGTCTTTTTATAAGTCTCTCATTTGATTCCACTTATATTGAATACATTACGTTTGTGTTTTACATAGCTATGCCGCTACCGTTTCTGCTATTTAATTCTACATTCAACCAACTACAAAAAAAATCATTCTAAACCCATTAATGAACAATACTTCGTTTAAAAAAGAGAAATTTAAAAAGATGCAATCGTTTTTCTTAAAGGTTTATAACCCCCTAGTGTATAATTGTTTCCATAAATTATGGTTAACTATTTTTGAAGATTAAAATGTGTCATAGCAACCCGAACATTGCAAGAAGAGAAAACAAACTTTGATTTAGAGTTTAAAAATGCGAACGATTTTTTATACTTATTTACTATTTTTCAAAATTAAATATTTTGTTTAAAATAGTAAAATAGAATAGGTGGAATTATAAATTGAAAGACTTTTGAATATATTTTTTGGTTTAAGATTGAAATAATCAATTCATTCTGGCATTCCATGACTCACATGTTTTTAAATGTGTTTAAAACTTTGTGTTGTGTCTTTAAAATTGATCCTCCCTTTGTTGCGAAAATGGCAGTTTTTTTTATGTGCACACGATAGGGTTGTACGTTATCATAACAAGACATCACGTGTTTTTTTTTGTTTTTTTTTTTTTGCCGCACGTGAATCTTATTATCTTTCAATTCAAGGATTAACTTTGATATTATGCTTTTAAACACAAAGGTTTCTTTAATTGTCTTTCTTTTTTAAAATTTTGTTTTTCATGAAAAGTTTTCAAAATTCATAATTTGTTTTTAAGTATTTTTTTTTCAAAATTTAATTGAGTACAACCGAAATAAAGAAGACAAAGTAAATCGCCAAATTCATTTTTATTCTGGGAAAAAAACGTGAATATTTAATTAAAAGAGTTGCAGTTTATTCTTAAAAGCCAATGTATTTTTTTATTATTATGCTATAATCCTTTCTTTAAATTTGTTTTCTTTTTTAATGTTCAGATTAAGTGTGCATTTGGTGTACGTTGCTGCGAAAATATTTAAATGTTTCGCAAATTTAAAAAAAAAAAAAAATCAGTTGAAACAAGTAATATTAAAAATGGTTGAAGCTCTTAATGCAACTTAAATCTACCTATTTTTCGAGATAAATTGATATTGTGTATTGCATTTTCATATTTCGAAAACTTTTATCAGGCTTTGTCGTTCGAGGTTAGGGAGAGATATTTAATTTATTATTTGCATTTGTCGGCAGATACTGTCTTTGATTGTCCTTGACTTTTTATCTATTTCAGTTATAAAAAATACCGCACTAAAATAAATTTTGAATTACATATTTATTGATGGCAACGCTTCAAGTTATATTTATTTTTTCTTAGGCTAATTTGTTTTACTTCGCATAATGCTTTAAATTATTTATAAAGAAACATTTCATGCGTAAAATATATCTTTTTGATTTTTTTTTTAACGAACTTAAATAAGAATGTATGACAAGCGCAGTTCGCCGAATCTGAATTCGATTTATGGAATTATTTCCTCTACGCATTCTCTCCTCACCTAATTATACTACCTGGGGTAAATGCGGTTAGTATTGCAGCAAAGCAACCAGACTGAATTGCGAAATTTTTGATGGATATTTATTATAGTAATTAATTTGTTGCTTCAAGCTGTCAAAGCATTAAAATTCTCAAATCCTTTAAATTGCTCTAAAACGACACTTCTGCAAAAAAGCTTTCGTAACTATTTTCGCTTGTTAAGATCAATAATTATAAAAATTTTTGGAAATTTTTTATTAAGACTGACATTTTTACCAACTATGAAAAATTTGCATGTTTTGTTTCCATCAAAGGGAAAAAATTGTTTAATTTTAGTGGAGCAAAAATCTGTTTAATCACTTTGTAACTAAAAATAATGCATTTGCTCCTTTCTCCAAAACTGTCACTCCAAATTTCTAAGAAAGTTCAAAGTCGCTGTTCCAAAATGCTTCAAAACAAATTAAATTGCTTTTTGATTTCACCAATTAAATTGCTCTAAAAATTTGAACGTTAAGTTATATCACTACTGCCCAGAATGATTTAGTTTATAATTTGTATTACTATCATTTGTATTAGAATTACTATCTCTCATTCTAGTAGCAAATAAAACAGCCTATAATTATGCAGACAAACATCTATATTTCAATTCTTATCAGTTTCAGCTTCTGACCAAACTGCCACCCTATTTTGTTCTTTTTTTTTCGCTTGGAGATTTTAAAATATTTTTACAATTTATTATTTGAGGAAAGAGCAAATAAAAAAGATCAAGAGTGTAAAA